ACCTTGAAGTGAAGCAGTGACGGTGATTATCTTTGTTGGTTCTTCACGCTGTGAATGTTACCGTTCTTGCTCATGTCCGTGCTAACACCACAACTCTACCGCATGTCAGCATCACACATAAACCGGTGATAGGTTCTGAAAACAGAAAGGCCTCCAGCTGCGCAATGAGGCTGACTCCCTGCATTCGGAGCTTTTGCAGAACCTAATGTTAACAGTTTCTGTTTTGCAATTGGTCAGTGCATTCGGATATTGAGAGAAAGACTGGTGTTTTGAGACTACCCAGGAATGCAGCCTCTTGTGTTTTCCTGCTCATCGACGTTTCCGGTGACTCAGAAGATTGTCAATCGGGATTGTACCTTCAGGAGATAGCTTCGAAACTTTGTCAGCTCCAAAGTTATCCAGTCAAACCCCGGACATATAGGTTTTAATACAGTTATTATCAAAATGTACCTTCATTTAATTCATAGAAATCTATGAAGAGATTGGAATCAAATAAACCCATGAATGATTTTCTCTTTCCCTGCTCCACACGGAGTGAGACAGGGACAAGCAGCGGGATTTCACCCCGCACTCTCCAATCCTCCGCTGCCAGCAGAAAGCGGCCACTGCAGATTCAATCAGCCGCTTCGTGTCCATCCTTGGGAGGCAAGATCCTCCAACTGGGACAAAACCTCTCAATGCACCAAGCTCAGGCTCAGGAAAACACAGGGAGATTCCATCCCGCTCAGTAAACTTCAGAGCAACATTGAGATAATCGCCAAGTGAGTGGAACTTACTCTGAGCCTCACTTGGGAAACCTCATTTGACACAACGAGTGGAAACCTGTTCCTTCTGAACAGTTGTTCCCGTGTGGAAAAGGGCGAAAATCATTTTACAGTTCACAACAGCTGCAGCAAATTCTTCTTGACCTTCGAATCTTTTTAACCGAACTGTGAAAATCCAGTCCCCAGATGCGAAGCTGCAGAATTTGCTGATGTACCGAACAAACAAAGTGCTGAATGTATTGAGTGAGACTGGGCAGACAGACACGCATTTCACACAGTCTGTAACAGAAATGACTGGGTTTATTGAAGCAGATTCACCGTCGCTCAGAGTGACTGACAGTCGCATGGGCAACTCAAGGATGAGGGCACCGACATTAAAATATGAATTTTGAATGTTAAATCCCGGAACAAACGCTGAAATTGGATTATAATGGTCTGACGGTGTAACAGCTGAAAAGTGGAAGATGTAACTGATGTTATTTGTGATTGAGAGTAATGAACTGGAAACTTGTGATATTCCAGGTGGATCATCTTTGGCACATTGAAATTAGGTTGCAAGGGATTTGGCTCAGTGTGAAATGGGAAAATAAGTACCCATCACTTGAGCCCGGCTGGCTCAGTCGGTAGCGCATGAGACTCTTAATTTCACGTTCGTGGGGTCGAGCCCCACGCTGGGCATCTTCGTTACTTGCAGCTTTACTTTCTGAGGTGAAGGTCAGCTGTGCCTAAAACTGAGTTTCTCGGCTGCTGGTTTCCTGTTTTAGAGTACAAGTTGTTTCCACTTCACGGGAAGTCCCAGAGATCAGCTTGAAGGTGCAGCTGCTTGTATAATAAATGAGACGACTTTTAAAGGGGCAAACCCAACTCGAATCCTGTACCAACATGTCTGTTCACAGTCACAGAATGAGAATGGTCACTTCCTGGGCGGCTCCATGTCAAATGGAGCTGAACCAGAATTATCTAATTCTGAGGATACCACGGAAAGCATCAATGAAGTCTCCCTGAACGTGACCCAATTCACAAGGAAAATTATCTTCTTTTGTCACCGTGTGGGTTTATTCAATAAAATCTTCATTCTCGGTAACAGAGGGGAAAAATTGTGAGTTTTCAATGTGTGACAGAAGTGATGTGGGTGAACCCGGAAATATGGCGCAGTCATGTGTTCTTTATCGAAGCAGAATCTCCTTTCGCACAGGCACATTATATTTGTTGCTCAACCGAATCTCACAAGATGCGTTCAGATTTGCGTTGATATTGGTTTTGATTCCAGGGCTATCGGCATCTGGCGAGAAACCGATATTGTAGCCGGGCAGAACTAAGCAGCAAAGAAAATGGACAAGAGGATGGGGTTCCTCGCAAGAATTTCCCAGTGCCTTTGTATCAGTGGTGTGCACTAGCGTCATTGGAAAATGTCATATGTGAGCTCTGAGGTTGTGGTATGGTGATATGGCCAAGCGGTCTAAGCTGCTGGTTCTCAGGTTTCAACCTTTGAAAAGCTGTTGGTTTGAATCCCACTGTCGTTACCTGTTATACCGAAGTTGCGTTTAACTTCCCTTTGTTTTGCCCAAAGTAATCTTTGACGTGGGACAGTACAACAGCGTCCACGGCATGTTTCCATGGTGCAGTAGTTATCGCGTGTGGAATGCCCCCAGCATGATAGTGGGAACAAGCAGGCTGTACTGCTACGCCATGTCCCAGGCAAGTTGCGATGCTCACCCTATTCGCTGAAAGTGAATGCAGATGCTTATTTTGCTGCTGGAGTGAAACAAAATCGTCTGTTGAGTCTACTTGCGGTTATTTGCCTTTTCTGGCGAAAAGGAGGGTATTGCTCTGTGAAATTTCTCCCATTTCCTTCATTTCTGTTCTGGAGAAGGGAGCTGATGAGCCACCTTCTTGATCCGCTGCAATCGTTGCGGTGCAGGCAGACCCGCATTGTTGATCAGAAAGGAAACCTCATCTAATCGAGACTGTGATTGCTCGCGTTCACTTTTCGTGGGTCATTCTTACTCTTATTCTTTTCATTTCCTGACTCGAGCAGTTTCCGGTAAGTGGCGATGGATTAAATCTCCAGTGTATTTGGAGGAGCAATTTGGAAATGCCCCAGGGTATTGGGGTATTGGCATCTGGTGAGAAATTGGTATTGTAGCTCGGCATAGCCGAGCAGCTAAGAAAATGGATGAGGAGGATAGGCTTCCTCGAAGCCCTTACCGGTGCCTTCGCTTTTGTTGTGTTCCGGCAGCAACATCGCAAAAATCAGTTTTGAGACAATCGCTCGTATAAGATGGTGTCGTGTGACCTCTGGTATTTGCTCTTGCCCAGAAATGGAAATCTTCGCCGGAATACTGACCAGCTAAGCAGAAAGATAGGGAAAGTGAAAGGAATTATGATAATGTTGTTCGCGCCTGGACTGCCTGTAGAACAATTTTGCAATGGGATCTGCCGTTCTCGGATTCTATATCTGCTTACCATTCGAGACGAAGGATTTTTTTTTTTTGGAGCCAATTATTTTGCATCACAGGTTTAATAACTGTCAGTTTGTTGGACGGGACCGTCTTGTAAGCGGCTCACTCGGCTTTGTGCATTTTGCCTGCAGTCCAGTGCTGATCATATTTCACTTACACCGGAAAGTTATTCTGGTTTGAACAGGGGACCGAGTCATATTCCAACGTCAAAACGTAAATCCCAGAAATGTCGTAGAGCTCGTATTTTCTTTATCGGAATATACATTCTCACAGACACAGCATTTGTTGGCCACCAAGCCTCAAAATATACGTTCAGCTTGCCATTCATTTTTGTTTTGATTGAAGGGCTGTAGGTATTTGTTGCAGCACATATCACACCCGCGAAGGTATAGGAGGAGTAGAATGGGGATCGATATAAACCAGTGACTAATCTCCCCAGAGCCCAATGTACAATAGTGAACATTCGGCCCGAGTGTCTCATGTTAGACCGTGACCACACTCCCCCCGAGCCCAGTATAAAGCAGTGAACTTTCTCCCTCAGAGTCCGATATAAAACAGTGAACATTCTCTCGCAGAGCTCAACATAAAAGAGTGAACATTATACCCCAGAGCCCCGTATGAAACGGTGACCTTTCTTGTCCAGAGCCAAGTATAAAATATTGACACCCGATAATCCTCATAAACCCGCACTTAACATGGCTTACTAACCTGGCCTGCACATCCACGCACACAACGGGGCAATTTCCCATAGCAATTATATGAATTATATGAAGCTAAAAACAGGAAAGGCTTGTTGGATTAGTGGTATGACCCTTGCTTAGGGTACTATGCAGTGTTATCATGCGAGAGGTCCTGGGTACAACTCCTCGATGAGCCCAGGTATGTTATTTCACTTTTGTGGGAGGGGGGATTACGATGCTTTCAGGCAAGAACTTCGGAGAGGAATTTGTGAATAGATGTTGTCAGAGAAATGCACGACAGAAATGTTGAGATTGTTTTGGGAGCACTTGCGACAGCTAATGGATAGGTTTGTCCCACTGAGGCAAGGAAAGGATGGTAAGGTGAAGGAGCCTGGGATGACGAGACGTAGAACATCTCGTCAAGAAGAAGAAGGAAGCTTACTTCAGGTTAAGGAAACAAGGATCGGACAGGGCTCCAGTCGTCGACAAGGTCGCCAGGAAGGAACTGGAGAATGGACTTAGGAGAGCAAGAAGTGGGGTATGGCAAGTAGGATTTAGGAAAATCCCAAGGCATTCTATACTTATGTGAGGAACAAGAGGACGGTCAGAGTAACGGTAGTGCCTATCAGGGATAGTGGAGGCAAATTGTGCGCAGAGTCGGATGAGGTAGGGGAGGTCCTTAATGAATACATTGCTTCAGTATTCACCAGTGAGAGGGATCTTAACATTTGTGAGGACAGCATGAAAAAGGCAGATACGCTCGAACAGGTTGATGTTAGGAAGGAGGATGTACCACAAATTTTGAAAAACATGAGGATAGATAAGTCCCCTGGGCCAGACGGGATATGCCGAAGGTTGCGATGGGAAGTGAGGGAAGAGAATGTTTCGCCTTTGGTGATGATTTTTGCACCCTCACTACCAGATGATTGGAGGGTGGCAAATGTTATTCCCTTGTTCAAGAAAGGGAATAGGGATAATCCTGGGAATTACAGAACAGTCAGTCATTCTGTGGTGGGCAAATTATTGGAACGGATTCTGAGAGACTGTATTTATGATTATTTGGACCAACACAATTTGATTAGAAATAGTCGATGTGGCTTTGTGAGGGGCAGGTCATGCCTCACCAGCCTTATTAAGTTCTTTGAGGATGTGGCAAAATACATTGATGAAGATCGAGCAATGGATGTGGTGCATATGGATTTTAGATAAGCATTTGATTCGTTTCCCCAAGGTGGGCTCATTTAGAAAGTTAGGAAATATGGGATTCATGGAAATTTGGCTGTCTGGATACAGAATTCGCTGTCCAATAGAAGCCAAAGGGTTGCAATAGATGGAATTTTTTTAGCCTGGAGCTTGGCAATCAGTGGTGTTCTGAAAGAATCTGTTCTGGGAACCCCACTGTTTGTGATCTTTATAAATGACTTGGATGAGGAAGTGGAAGGGTGGGTTAGTAAGTTTGATGATGACACGAAGGTTGGTGGCAGGGAGGATAATGTGAAGGGCTGTTGGAGGTTGCAACGGGACATTGACAAGATGCAAAGCTGGGCAAAGAAGTGGCAAATGTAATTCAACCTGGAAAAGTGTGTGGTGATTCATTTTGGAAGGTCGAATTTAAATGCAGAATATAGGGTTAATTGCAGGATTCTTGGCAATGTGGAGGAACAGAGGGATCTGGGGGTCCACATCGATAGACACCTCAATGTTGCTACCGAAGTTAATAGGGTTGTTAAGAAGGTGTATGGTGCGTTGGATCTCATTGGCAAGGGAATTGAGTTTAAGAGCCACAAGGTTATGCTTCAGTTACTTAAAACCCTGGTTAGACCACACGTGGAATATTGTGTTCAGTTCTGATCGCCTCATTATAGGAAGGATGTGAAAGCTTTAGAGAGGGTGCAGAGGAGATTTACCAAGATGTTGCCTGGACTGGAGGGCAGATCTTATGAGGAAAGGCTGAGAGAGCTTGGGCTTTTCTCTTTGAAGCGAAGAAGGATGAGATGTGACTTGATAGAGGTATATAAGATTATGAGGGGCATAGATAGAGTGGATACCCAGAGACCTTTTCTCAGGGCGGAAATGAGTGTTACGAGGGGGCATAATTTTCAGGTGATTGGAGGAAGGTATAGTGGAGATGTCAGAGGTAGGTTCTTCACACAGAGAGTGGTGAGTGCGTGGAATACGCTATCACGGTGGTAGTCAATTCAGATACATGATGAACACTTAAGTGAGTCTTGGATAGACACATGGATGATCGTAAAATATAGAGCATACAGGATAGTTTGATCTTAGAGTAGGATAATAGGTCGGCACAACATCATGTGCTGAAGGGCCTGTGCTATACTGTTCTATGTGTTCAATTCACCCAGCCTCATAAGTTTAGCCCGTGGGAAGAAGCTGAGCCACTCCGACGCAGACATGGTGAGAACGTGAGACCGCGCGAACGTGCAAACTCCACGTCGACATCAGCTGAAGCTGGGTCCCTTTTGCTGAAAGGCCGCAAAAGGGTTCGACCCTCCCCGGCGGGGAATTGAATGCCGGT